AATGAATATTTTACATCAATGTTCTTGAGGGATATTGGTTTGTAGGTCTCTTTCTTAGTTGTTTCTTTGTCTGGCTTGAGTGTTAAGGCAATTGTAGGTAGCCTCATAAAAAGAGTTTGGCAGTGACCCTTCTGCTTCTATTGTGTGGAACACTTTGAGGAGTATTGGTATTAGCTGTTCTTTGAATTTCTGGTAGAATTCTGCAATGAAACCATCTGGCCCTGGGCTTTTCTTTTTTTTTTTTTTTTGGTTGGGAGACTTTTAGAGATTGCTTGTATTTCATTAGGTGTTATAGGTCTATTTAAATTGCTTATCTGTTCTTGATTTAATTTTGGTGATATCTATCTAGAAAATTGTCCATTTTCTTTGAATTTTCTAATTTTGTGGAGTACGGGTTTTCAAAGTGTGACCTGAAGATTCTCTGGATTTCCTCAGTGTCTGTTGTTATGTCCCTCTTTTTCATTTCTTATTTTGTTAATTTGAATATTCTCTCTGTGTCTTTTGGTTAGTTTAGATAAAGGTTTATCTATCCCGTTGATTTTCTCCAAGAACCAACTCTTTGTTACATTGATTCTTTATATTGTTTTCCTAGTTTTTTAAGCCCAATTTGATTATTTCCTGGAGTCTACTCCTACAGGGTGAGTTTGCTCCTTTTTGTTCTAGAGCTTTCAGTTGTGATGTTAATTCTCTAATGTGACTATTCTCCATTTTCTTCATGTGGGCACTTAGTGCTATGAACTCTCCTCTTTGCACTCCTTTCAAAGTGTTTCATAAGTTTGGAAATGTTGTATCTTCATTCTCATTGAATTTTAGGAAGTCTTTAGTTTCTTTCTTTATCCCTCCCTTGACCCAGGAATGGTGCTATTGCGCATTGTTCAGTTTCCATGAGTTTGTAGGGTTTCTGCAATTTGTGTTGTTGTTGAATTTAACTTTAAAACATAGTGGTCTGATAAGGTACATGGAGTTATTTCAATTTTTTTTGGTACCTATTGAGGTTTGTTTTATTGCTGAGTATGTGGTCGATTTTAGAGAAAGTTCCATGTGGTGCTGAGAAGAAGGTATATTCTTTTGTGTTTGGATGGAATGTTTTGTAAATGTCTGTTAAACCCAATTGGGTCATAACTTCTGTTAATTCCTTTGTTTCTTTGTTAAGTTTATCTATGGTAGTCCTGTCTAATGTTGAGAGTGGGATGTTGAAATCTCCCACTATAAGTGTGTGAGGTTTCATGTCCAATTTGAGTTTTAGTAGTGTTTCTTTTACAAATGTGGGTCCTTTGTACTCGGGGAATAGATGTTGAGAATTCAGACTTCATCTTTATGGATTTCATCTGTGAGGAGTAAGAAATGACCATCTTCATCTCTTTTGATTGATTTTAGTTTAAAGTCAAATTTATTAGATATTGGGATTGCTACACCCGCTTGTTTCTTGGTTCCACTTGACTGAAAATTTTTCCCAACTCTTAACTCTTAGGTACATCTGTTTTTGAAGTTGAATTGTGTTTCTTATATGCAGCAGAAGGATGGATTCTGTCTTCTTATCCATTCTGTTATCCTGTGTCTTTTTATAAATGAGTTAAGATTTAGGGATATTAAAATGACCATTGATTGCTAATTCTTGTATGTTTTGGATTTCTTGGTGGTGGTAGTATTATGTGTGGATTTCCCCCCATTTTTCTGTTGGTTATACTTGCATATGTGGTTCCTGATCCCAGCTTTTCTATTTCCAGCATTCATTCAGACCATGTTTTTTTTGTTTGTTTGCTTGATTTTTGTTTGTTTGTTTGTTTTTGTCTCTATTTCAGCTTTCAAGCCTTGCACTGTTTGAATTTTTCCTTGTAATTTTTGCTTTGTTTTTTCCTCCATTTCTTGAATTTTTTTGTTTTTCTTCTACTTCTTTAAGGGATTTTCTCATTACCTCTTTGAGGGTCTCTGTCATCGTCATGAAGTTGTTTTTAGGGTCATTCCCTTCTGCTTCATTTGTGTTGGGATGTTTAAGTCTTGCTGGTGTGGAGTCCCTAGACTCTGGTGGCAACACATTGACCTTTCTTTTTTGACTGTGTTATATATATATATAATAATAATAAGAGTTTAGGTTTGAAATAAATTAACAACTCCTATATCAAATCGTGTGAAAATTTAATTGGAGGGCTAGAAAGCCCAGTACATGATAAAAGGTTGAACATAATTGTCATCTGGGAAATACAAATTCAATCTGAAAGTATACTGAATACCATTTTATTCCTACTAGTAGTCTTATTTTAAAAAGGAAAATAAGTGTTGTTGAAGAGGAAGCAAAAATGCAATTCTTATAGAGTATTGTTCAGATGATTAAAATGTGTGGTTACTTTAAAAAACATTCTACTCTTTCTTCAAAGGGGTAATTATAGAGTTATCCTGTGACCTAGTAATTCATACACACACACACACACACACACACACACACACACACACACACACACACACACAAAACAAAAACAAAAACATAAAAAAAAACTTGTAAACCAATGAATTCATACCCTCTGTAGTAAAATGGTACCCTCAACCACTTCAGTAGCCTCCAGAAATAGAAACAGTGTTAAGAGCCAGGGCCCAGCACCATTTTTCTAAAGTCACTGCAACTCCCTGAAGCCTGAGTCATTGCCAAAATTCCAGTCACCACAGCCTCTGTAGTAGCTCATGGTGTCCAGAGTTAACAGTTGTACTTTTCAAGGGTGAGTGTCACCATCTGCCCAAGGACTCTATCTCTTTAAAGGGTATGGCAACAAAACATATGGTCATGGACCTCATTTCATGTCTTAAGCTGCATAAGAGATAATATCAGCTTCTGGCTTCTGTTTAGGACATTTGTCCAGATTCCAGTGAAATGAGTTGTGTTTGTTTTGACTCTGATTATGGTATCTTCCCAGTGTATATCTGGGATAAGAGTCTATCCAGTCCTGTAGCTAATAACATTATTTATTGATTTAAGTCAGTGTCATGTGAAACTCTACCTGATTTCTTGTTAAAACCAAAAATGTTTGCCACAATTGTTTCAACTACCCAAATATATCACTTTTCAAATTTAAAAAAATATTAAATAAATAAAATTCTTTTGAATATTCATAGTAGTATAACATTCAAAGGTAGAAATGATCCAGTAAATAATGGATAAGCAAAATTCAGTATCTCCATACAATGTAATATTTGCTAATGAAAAAGAATGAAGTCCTGATATATGCTAAGTAAAAGAAACGAGACATAAAATTTTGTGCCACTATATAAAATGTCTAGAAGAGCCAAATTCATAGAAACAGAAAGATCAGTAGTTGACACTATCTCTCAAAGATGCATTGGATATCTTTCTGGATATCTTTCCAGAATGGTGAGAATGTCCTGAAGTTGGATAGTGGTTATGATAGTAAATCTCTATTGTTAACTTGGTGACAGTGAAACTCTGAGCGGGGCAGTAAGGACATTTACAGAGATGATTAGATCATGAAGGCTTTGACCTAATCAATGGGTTAATCAATTGTAAGATCCAGAATTTGAATAGGCTATTGAGATATGGTAGAATTCTGGGAGGTGGGGCTAATTAGAAGAGTTTGTTCATTGGGGGCTTGCCTTTGACAGGTATATCTTAGCTTTGTTTCCTTCTTTTTATACCTGTCTGCATCCTGAATCCTGTTGTCATAAGATGGGAAGTTCTGCTCCTCCCCACACTCACACTTTTTTGCCTAGCAACAGACCTGGAAACAATGCAGCCAGATGATTATGAACTGTATCTCTGAAACTGTGACCCAAAATAAACGTTTCCTTATTTTATCTTGTTTCATTTAGGTGTTTGTCACAGTATCAGAAAGCTATATACAGTGGTAAGAACTGCACAACTCTGAAATATTAAAAACCAATGGGTTATAGACTCTATTACTTTTACCTTAATTTTTAGCCATATAGGCTGAGCCTTGTGGTACCTATGTATAATCCCAGCAGTCTTGAGGCAGAGAAAGAAGAATCATATATTTGTATAACACAGTTTCTTTTATAGCTAATCAGTAAGTCACCTTACAAAATAATATATTAGGATTCAGTATCTCTATATATAATACAAGATTTTAAATTCCATTTCATTGTTTAAAAGTAAAATAAGTTTTCAGGTGTAAAACCAGCAATTTGATATTGGGAAAATAAATGTCTTTATTCTCTACTGTTACTTCATCCATTATTTCAGTGATAAGTGTTTTGAATTCTCAAATTACAAATCAGTAAACAGATTGTACAATGATGTATTTTATCCCATAGCAAGCACAACAGTGTTCTATATAGTACGTAAGTGCCGAATCCACACTTTGTTTAAGCATATAATTTTTTTAGTATATACTTTGATTCTTGCTAAATTGCTAAAATAGCAATTGATTTTTATAAATATAAAAATTTGGGTGTTTTTTGAATAATAGTTAATTGAAAAACATTAAGCTTCATATCTGACATTATACCCCTTTTCTGTTTTAGAATTGTCTGTATTAAAGCCTGAAGAGTTAGCTCAATTGGTAGAGTGGTTTCCAGCATGCACAAAGCCCTGAGTTCAGTTCTCAGCTCCACATAAACTGGACATGATAGTCACATTAGTCATCCTAGCACTTGGGAGACTAAAGCAGAAGTGGGAGAGGTTCATACTCATCCTTGGCTATGTAGCAAGTTCAGTGTGCCCTGAACTATACAGGACAGTTGTCAGGAAGGAAGACAAAAGAGAGAGAGAGAGAGAGAGAGAGAGAGAGAGAGAGAGAGAGAGAGAGAGAGAGAGAGAGAGAGAGAGGTGGAGGGAGAGGGGAGAGAGGAAGGAAGGGAGGGAGGCAGGAAGGAAGGAAGGCAATCTCTAAATCATTCTGTTTGTGCTTAAATCAATTACAAGACACTTATGTTTGTTTAATGCATTGAAAAATTCTAGCATTGCTGTCGTTATGGTTCAAGAAATTACCATATTTAACATTGATGCCATATAACGTGTTATTCTGTTTTATTAGGAACTCCCTGCACCACTACTTGATGATAATGGTAAAAAAGAGCTTGAAGATGTACATAATTCTAAAACACCAGAACAAGACGTTAATATGAAAATAGCCTGGCGATACCAGTTACTACCCAAGATGCAGGCAAGTGAATTTACAAACTACCTCTAAAATTTGCAAAGCATTTCTTTCATTTTGTAGAGTCTCTGGGCCTGGTTTTTCCTGCTTGGTTTTAGGTCTTGTGAGTTTGAGCCAATTTTTCTTTTTGAATTGAGAATATTATTCTGTGCCATTATGTATTATAAGTGGTCCAGATGTAACTTGTTTTCATGTGTGTCTGTTCATAGAGGCCAATTTTACATGTCTTTCACCTCCCTCTGAAGGCTTACTTTCTCTCTTTTTATATATATTTTATTTAAATTAGGAACAATCTTATTTTACATATCAATTCCAATTTCCTCTCCCTCCCATCCTCCAAAGTCCCCCACCAAACTCCCATCCCACTCTCCAGGGAGGGTGGGGCCTCTCATGAGAGATCATCAAAGTCTGTGACATCAATTAGGGCAGGACCTAGACTCTCCCCCTCCCTATGTGTCTAGGCTTGAGAGAGTATCCATCCATGGGGAATGGGCTCCTAAAGTCCATTCCTGTACTAGGGATAAATACTGATCCACTACCAGAGGCCCCATAGATTGCCCAGGCCTCTAACTTACACCCATGTTCAGGAGGCCTGGTTCCCCAACTGTCAGACTCCCACTTGCTCAGTTCAGCTGTTTCTGTGGGTTTCTCCAGCCTGGTCTTGACCCCTATGCTCATTCCTCCTCCTTCTCTACAGCTGGATTCCAAGAGTTCAGCTCAGTGTTTAGCTGTGGATCTCTTCTGAGACAGTATCTTTCACAAAACCTGAAGCTTACTGATTCAGCAAGCACAAACAATAATTAAACAGTCTCTCCTTTCTTCCTTTTCTTCCTTCTTTCCTTCCTTTCTTTCTTCCTTCCTTTCCTTCCTTCTTTTTTTTTCTTTCTGATAAGTGTCCTGTATATCCAGGGCATACTTGGACTTGCTATGTAGCCAAGGATGACTGTATAGCAAATCCTGGGAAGATTCCTGATGAGATTGCCTAGAATTTTAGAAGAGACTTTCAGGCATTGGGCTTCTGAGTAATATTAGAACCTTGATATTTTAAGACTCTTACAGATGGACTAAATGCATCTTGTATTAAATATGAGACTTTAGAGCCAAAAGTGGAATTTTATAGTTTAAATTTATGCGTTTGGCTATTAAGATGGTAAGAGAGCTTGTCTTGATCTGGGTTGCTTTTGTTGTGATGAAACACCATGACCAAAGCAACCTGAGGAGGAAAGGGTTTATTTCTCTCACAGTTCTGTATAACAGTTCATTATCGAAAGCAGTGAGGGCAGGGACCTGGAGATAGGAACTGATGCAGATGCCATGGAGGAGTGCTCCTTACTGATTACTGCTCTTGGTTTGCTTCCCATGGCTTGCTCAGCCTGCCTTCTTATAGCCCAAGGATGGCACCATCCACAAATGCCTAGGACCTCCCTTATTTGATCACTAATTAAGAAAATGTCTTACAGCTGGATCTTATGGAGGCGTTTTCTCAATTGAGGCTCCCTCCTCACTTCTGGCTTACACTTTGTGTAAGTTCACATAAAACTATCCAGCACAGATAGATTTATAGTGATTAACTTTCAATGTTAACTTGAACAGGATTTAGAATTACCTAGGAAACATACTTGTGCTTCCAAAGAGACTCAGCTCTGGAGAGAAGACCCACCTGAATATGACTGTAGCATTCCACAGGCTGAGGTCCTGGCCTTATAAAAAAGAAAAAGCACATGGAACACAGACATTCTTCTCTCTGCTTTCTGACTATGGAAGCAATGTGACTTAACTTCACATTCTCCTGTTGTCATACCTTCTCCACCATGTCAGACTGTTTGAGGGAACTTCCAGCTATAACAAACTGATTTCTTGTCAGATAGCTGGTCATAGCAATGAAAAAAGTAATACAGTACTTCATGCTTCATATGCCACAGTGTTTTATAATTAACTGTTTGTATACCTTCTTCATCAGATGAGGCTTCTTTGTGAAGATAGAGAGCTTATTTTATTTTCCTCTGTATTTACACCACCTATCCTAATGCTTACATAGTGAATACTAATAAATGCAGGTATTAACAGCTAATAATAAATGTATTTATTCATTCAGTCAGCAAATATGTACTCACCCATCAGCTGTGTATCATAACATGCATACTAAGTAATAGCAAGCTGTCATTTTACACATATAATTTATTTGAATAACATGATTTAAAATTTAATTCAAATAACTATGAACAAGCTACAAATTAGAGAGTATTTGTGCTCATATATAAAATAAGGACTAGTTTTCTTGTATATGTTGATCCTGTAAAATGAACAAGGAAAATTCAATTTTACAAGTCAACAAAGATATGAAGAGAAAATTTTTGTGACTATTAAACTTATAAAAACAGATGTCTGGTTTCAGTTATGGTAAGAGAAATGTAGTTTAAAACTATACTACTGCCCTATCACTGTTCAATAATTGGTATCACAGTGTCCTGAAATGTTTATCAAGATACTTTATTAGCAGTAAAGGGGAAGTCATACTCTCATTCTTGTCTAAGTGGTAGAAGAGTGACAGGATGGTTCAGCAGGTAAAAACACTTGCTGCACTGGCCTGACAACCTGTGTTTGCACATCCAGAACCTACATAAAGGTGAAAGAGGAGAACCCACTCCACAGAGCTGACCCCTTTAGCCCACACATGTCCTTTAGCTTATCTGTTCCCACATTTAATACATATCTCACACATAATTTTAAAAGAAACTTTAAATGTAGCTTCTGTAGAGGATGATTTGATAATATCCTTCAAAATTTACCTCAGCTGTAGAATATGTAAGAGCTATTCACCTAGCACATTTGAATAGTGAAAGATTAAAAATATCCTAAATGTCCATTAGTAAACAATAAATTATATATATATATATATATCATAGTATATCTGGAATGTAAGATAATTTATATTAAAAATGAATAAAAGATAGGTATATTCAGAAGTTTGTCAAATGTGTAGCCTATTGTAGATATGACTGAGAATCTAGGATAAATGTAGCTCATCTGCTTAGGAGAGTGGGTTAACTGACAGGTTGAAACTTAGAGAAAATGTAGGGAGTGCTTGAACCTCAGTGGTCTAAGGGCATGTGCTTAACCTGTTAAGTTTATTAGGTCATTTATTCATTTGGGGATTTTTTCCCCCTGTGTTTACTTTTGGAGTTCTTTATAGATTGTGACCCATTGATACCACCACCCTCCTTCAGATACATAGTGTCTTTTTTTTTTTCTAAGTTATGAGTACCCAGTTTAGCTTAGCTTGTTTCTAGCCAGCTTTTCTTATTGTTAAATTATCTCATCTATCCTTTCCTTCTGAGCTTTTCTCTGTTTTGTTTTGTTTGAAACAAGGTTGTTTTACATGTCAACCCCAGTTCCCTCACCCTCCCATCCTCCCCTATCACCATCACCAAACCCCAGCCCATCCACTTTTTGCTCCCCAGGGAGGGTGAGGCCTTCCATGGGGAGTCTTCAAAGTCTGTCATAACATTTGGGCCAGGGCCTAGGCCCTCCCCTATATGTCTAGGCTGAGAAAGTAGACCTCTATGTGTGATGAGCTCCCAAAGTCCATTCGTATACTAGGGATAAATACTGATCCATTACTTGAGGCCCCACAGCCTGCCCAGTCCTTCTAACACCCACATTCAGGGGGTCTGGGTGGGTCCTATGCTGGTTTCCCAGCTATCAGATTGGGGTTCATGAGCTCCCCCTTGGTCAGGTCAGCTGATTCTATGAATTTCTCCAGCCTGGTCTTGACCCTTTTGCTCATCACTCCTCCCTCTCTGTAACTAGATTCCAGGAGTTTGGCTAGTGTTTAGCTGTGGATGTCTGCTTCTGCTTCTATCACCTACTAGATGAAGGCTCTATGATGGCATATAAGGTAGTCATCAATCTCATTATCATGGAAAGACATTAAAGGTAGCCTCTCCACTATTGCTTAGATTGTTAGTTGGGTTCATACTTGTAGATCTCTGGGCATTTCCCTAGTGCCAGATTTCTCCTTTAATTTTTCATCATATGTAATCCCATTTCTGGGTACTTGAGATTATTTCTTGTGCTGTTTGAAGACTTTTTGTCATACTTCTATGCCTTAGTGTCTTATCTGTTTTTCTCTAGTAGTTTCAGCCTCAGGTCTTATAGTCATTAAGTTCTTTGATCTATCCATTGATTTCACACACACACACAAGGTAAGAGACATTCATCTAGTTTCCCTTTTCCCAGTACTATCTACTCAAGAGATTATTTTTTCCCCTATTATTCTCTAATGGGTTTTGTTTGTTTGTTTGTTTTGTCAATTTGACATAAGCTCCAGACATCTGTGTAGTGATATATTATTTATGATTTATTAATGTTTACCTGAGGATTCAGAAAAGCAAAGTCAGCCTCAAGCTATAGACATCAGGCAGTGTAAACACAAACTTTTTAATCTCAGAAGCTAGGAGATGGTGGTACACACCTTTAATCCTAGGTCTCAGGATTAAGAGATGGACGGATCTCTGTGAGTTCAAGGCCACCCAGGGATACAAGAGATTGAATCAGTCTAAACAAGAAACAGGTCACACTCCTTTAATTCCTGCACTAGAAGGTTATAAAAGATAGAAGCAGGGTCTTCAGTATTCAGCATGAGGCATTCATTTCTTCAGCCACACTGAGGAGAGGCAACAGTTTGAGACTTGGTGAAGAGTTCATGTGTGAATCATGCCTTTCTTGTGTGAATCATGCCTTTCAGCCTGAGCTAGAGGTGAGAGCTAGTGGCCAACTGCTTTGTTTCTCTAATATTCAGCTTGAAATTTGAACCCCAATGTCATTAACTAGGTAATTTGTTTTTCTATTTAACATATCTGGGACGAGGGAACCTCATTTGAGAAAAGTACCTCCATCAAATTACCTGTAGATAGGTCTATTAGTTATTTTCTTGATTAATGTTTATATGGGAGGGTCCATCTTATTTTGTGGGTGTTACCACCCCTGGGAAGGTGGTTTTGGAT